TTCGATCGCAAGCAAAGCCATTTGTTTTTCGTCACTTTCAAACCGGGGATTTCCAATGTATCAATACGATTAAAGAGTGTCCCAATGAGCAGCAGCTTTTATGCGATTATCGATGATGGGAATTCGTGTGTCTCACAAAAACGGAATCAATAGCAAGGGTGACGCATTGGAGAAAGCTAACACAAGGGCGAGTTCCATTGGGAAGTCCTTTAGATAACAGGTTGTTATTATTCGATAATTTCATTGACGAATGTAGCCTTAACAACACAGGTTCAAGACTCTACATTTCAGAACGGGACGAACAGCCTGAGGCTCCAAAAAATGTATGAGCTGGTAATAACATACCCATCCAATGCATCTTCTCGGTTCTTCAAGAGGGCTCACTTGAATCCGTGACAATGGTTAGGCACTGCCGTGGCGCGGGCACCTGCAGGAGGAAACCGAAAATTCAAAAATTTGGCAATAATGAGTCTAACTTACGCAGCGCCCTTCGATAGGGGATTTTGGCCCTAGCTACTTGGACATAAGGGTAAACCCAGTCGCACATGACATTACTCTTTAATGCATCAATCAGAAGGACTTACCGTAGACCACACAACATTAGAGGGATTAATTTTCGCGTCCGACCCTTCTTTCAGGGTCTTTTTTTGCTTTTCTTTCCATTTTATTCTTCCTTTTTGAGCGGGAAGAGGTAAGCTCCGGGGAGGCTGCAGGATGTTTGCTACCCAGGCGGTTCTCGAACGACAGGTATAAAGCCTACCCATAATCCGGTGTAAACCGCATATTCTCCTTCCAAAACAGACATCACAGAAAAAGTTTGAGTGAGCCTAAGGAAGTCCACGAAGAAATCCCGCCACGTTAAACGATTAAAAGTTTATGGTCATTTTGTTTCCCGGAAGCGCTTGATCATCTAAAAGGATGGCTGTTGGCCCTCGCGTGTCCAAGGAGGACTTTATGCATGCGTTGGGTCTCGATGCGAATAACCCTCAACATGAACCTTTTTATCGAGCAATGAGAGTAAGTTTTTCACAACTTGTCAGAGGATTTTCATGACTAGGAAAGATCGTTCCGAGACGCACAGGATAGTGGTCTCGGAGTCTCTACTAACCAACATCCATAGGATGAAGCCATTGTTGTGTACAACATATTGAACCAGGACAATTCAAACCTACTTGAAAACCTGAGAAACGACCCTTCAATCCGACCACCGTTTTTTTGGCACCACATCCGACCAGAGAGACAACGATGGGGAATTCTAGAAATTTGGCGAAACTCCAAACCGGTCACACGAGCGTGGTTCGACCGCGGTATTACAGACGGAGAATATGGGCCCAACTGGGTAACAGGGTGGCTGTTGTACAGCGTGTTCCGTTCTCGAGACGTTCGAAATAATCGTAATCGCCGGAAAGGCGAAGACGGAGGGTCTGGGAATTCGGGTGGTACCCAATCCCCGTTCACCTTGTTGACATTGTTTCCCGCATTCAAAAACTGATAGACAATTTTTGCCATTAGGTCAGGGACAGCCGAAGAATGGCCGAAGTGCTACCACTGGCAGTGAAAGACAAAATGGGGGATATTATGACCCCGTCCGGAACGGCACGCACTGATGTATGGCATTTAAATTGCACAACGGTTTCGACTCCGAATGCTTTGGTTGCTGGGCGACATATTCGCAGTTTCCCGGCGGCAATCTGAATTTCATTCGTAAATCTGTTGGCTTAATTTTCCTTGAATCTTTGCCCGGAAGCTTATTTATTCAGTTTGTTAGCCATCCTCCAATTTTCTGAGTGTATTTTCCCTCTCACCATAATTGGTGGGTCTAGCCCAGACAATCATATCTGGCGGCAGAGATTTTATTTTTATATTAAGGCGTTTTCTTTCTCTCCCCACTGGGGCATTTGAAATAATCAAAAGTTGATCTGTCAATCGTCTCGTTTCCTTCAGTGTAATTTCCGTCCAAGTGCTGGCCTATAAATAAAAAAACAAAAATCAGGTGCGTCAAAGCTTTTAGTTATAGAGCGAGGGCTTAGGCTCGGTTAGCTAACATATGATTCGAAAACTAGGAGAGGGTTTTTCAGGCTCTCGTGAGCTGAAGGCTCATCTATAGGCGTGGCATTGGGCAAGATCTACCGTTGGTATGACGTCCCAAGAGTATATCAATCTCACTCTTTATGTTTGCCAATTATCAAATTATGGTGAAGGAGTAACTTCAATTCCCCAGATGAAGCACATATCTTCCGAGCTTTTGGACAAGAGCTGGTGATGTAATTGTTCGATCAATCTTTGTGTCAGAGTTCTCCCAATGGCTCATCCGATAAAAATTTCCACTTCGTCAGCTGGTTCTTCCCCAGTCTCATTGTGGGAATATTTCTGTTATCTTCTGTCCCCTTTATCCGCTTTTGGGATTGTGTCATTTTACCTTTGAAAGAATCTCTTTTCTCGTTGGCGTTTTGTATTTCATCGGACAAGAAGACTAGAGGCCCCTCAGTGGGCAGTGAGAGATGGCGGGGTATGAAAGGCACAATGTGCTTTCTCAATATCTTGACCACTTGTTAGTATCAATCAACTAAAAAAATCCCAGAAATACCTAAATCCCTACATATGTTTGGTATTCCTTCCCATGCCACTCTGCTTCAATCATCATGTAGTCGAAGGAACTTATCGGATATCCAGATTAATAGTAATATCATGCGAGAAGAGGGAGTACCATGATGCTACGATTATAGCCGTGTCATCACAACTCGCCGACTCGTAGAGTCCATGCGATCGAAGGCGGACCCGATATGCTGGCTGACTTCCAGGAAATTTTGTATGGATTAGCAAGGGATCCCTAGTCGGTGATCTGATAGGAGGGATGGAATGACGTCAATTTCTGGGGCCTGAAGACATCATAAGATACTCAAATAACAGGGGAAGAAGATTTCGTCAAAGATACGGAAGATATATCAATATCGAACCCTGTTTGGCGCGCGTACTTGAATGACGACTTTCACTGTCATCGAGGTTGTTTCTCCTGTGGATAACGGGGGTGGTCAGTTTTGGTGGCAACAGACGGCGCTATTTAAGTGGACCTTCCCCCTGGGCCGACGTCCACGAAGGGAGCGTATGACATCCCCTGGGATGGTCTCTCTCGTGTCGGGTTGATTCTAAACCAACCTCACGGCTCAGTTTCGCAAGCGGCTTTAGTACCTTTCAATCAGTTCACCTTCCCCATCACCAGAGGATTCTGAAAGGTGCACCCACCCCCCCAACCCAATCGCGCGAGAAGTCAAGCAGGGGTCAATGAAATCGTACTGATGTCCCATCCCATGATTCAGAGTTGATATAGAGTACATAAATGTGAATTGCTCTTTCCACTTCTCTTTTTAGCAATCGTCATGCTTGTCATATTTCTTTGGGAGAGACAAGACGCACAAAGAGCCAGTGAAATCCAGGGCAGTTGAGACATATAGCGATGCATCAATTGGATGTTGTACAATTATGCCAATCCATTCAATTGGTCTTGACTCGTGGGAAATGTGTTTTGTATAGAACTCTTAAAGGGAAAAGGTAATTTAAATCTTGGGTAGTTCCTATTGCCTCTTTTTATACGATGTTGGACGCCTCACTATAAAAGCATCGGAAATCAAATATCCCCCGCTCCCCAAGTGAAAGACTCGATGTAAGGGTTTTGTTGCTAACATCTGTAGGCAGTTATCTGCACCCCCAAACCTTTACACTCTTCTAGAAATCACAGTCAATCGTGAGAAATTTATTTTCTTTCTGTCCCCATTATTTATCCAAAAATATCAACAATATGTCTAACATTATCGGTATTATGAGCTTAATCAAAATCGTTCCCTTAAATTATTCGCAATATCCCTTTTACCAGGGGAGCCGGTTCAGCCAGGGAAGAAAAATGTAAGCAGAGGACAAAACGAAAGAATAAAATAAAATAAAAATCTAACAGCTCTACCACCAGACTTTGCCCGATGCATTTCAACAAAAATCGCGAGGTAAACATGCCACATAGAAATGGCTTTAATGAAAAGAATAGTTCGATCACAATCCGGTATGCTCGTTAGTTCGCTTGCTGGAAATCATTAAATTTCATCCCTAACTAGACCCTCTCAATGAGTGGAGACGTAGTTTTGTTATTAAAAAAAAAAAAAAAAAAAAAAAAAAAAAAAAAAAAAACCCAGATGGGTAACCGTGAATCGAGTATAACATAAGCCATTGTAGCTTGAAACCTAACAGATTTCATTTCGGAGAGAGCTTTCCTTCACGTTTTATTTTGGTCGCTAAGTAGCAACTCCCCTTGAAATCTCTCCTGGAACCCGGTCCTTGCCTCTCAATTAAAAAGTAAAAGAATGAGCCACTGCTCAATAAGGTCGTAACAACATATAATTCCCACGTGCATTCACGCGGAAGAAACCATTATGAGACGTTGAGCGGACAGGAGAGATACATAAACAAGATAGCCGACTGAAGTGGTGATATTCCATCGGTGTTGTACAGTACAGCTTCAGTGAAGATATATATAGAAATATCAGAACGAAGCAAAAGAGAATCTATGGGGAATCGTTTCATTTCGTTATTTTCGGGTCATCGGGTGTGGTTATATTCGTGTGCTCGCGTGATTGGGAATCATCGTAGACAGTTCTGTATTACCTGTCCAGCGTGTTTTCACCATAATCATTTGGTTAGAAACCATAAAGTCATAAAGTCGTAAGTTCTGTGCAGGCCGATTCTTCTTGTTCTTTTCTTTTCTTTTCTTTTTTCCATCTCTTCCTCTTTTGTCGTCTCTCGGAAGAAATTTGGGGGGGGGGGGATTGGGTTTCATCAGGGCGGGTGCGAGGTATATGCTTTCTATAGTCAGGCCGCGTTCTTATTGACGAATCACGATACTCGTCAAGGGTGTCGAAGAGCAGACCTTGGTCAACCGGGATCGATAGGTTTGAAACAAAACTAGAGGCTCTGGTGGCCGTATGCGAGTGTTCTCGTTGGAGCGGCAGGTTGGCGCTCACGACCTAGTCGACCTCCCTCGTGGCTCTCAGGGCTGCTACCCCCACTTCGGCTTCCACTACTGGTTGACGCATCGATATCATCGCGAAAACGACCACGTCGTCCTGTGCCAATAGCAACTGGAATGCCCTGCACAATCCCTCCATGGTCGTGACCTGCAGGATACATCCCATCGTTGACAGAGAAATTCCGGCAGATCAGATAGGCGCGCATAGCCGCGCTTTCTCTGGCGAGGGATTCCGTTTCGCAATATACATCCGTCTGATACTCGCGATTATTGACGCGCACAATGCAGCCGTACCCGGCCGCACAGGGATATGATTCGTAGAGGGGTTCTGGCCAGCGACGGCGGCGGCAAAGACCTGTGACAGAAAATATGTTATTGGCTGTGGAACGTCATATGTTGGCTTGACGTGTGAATTTCGGCCTGACGCCTGCTATTTTTTAATTTTTAAACAAAAAGAAAACAAGTAGTTAACAATGACGATCTTTCGATCCCCGCGGATGCCAGTGTTGAAAATACTGGGGTATAAAGTTTATCATGCCCATAACCCTGAATTAATAATGGTGAATGCGAAAGGAAAAGACAACACGGATACTTGGGGATTTCCAGTTGGCCTCTGACTGAAGACACAGGCACATGGCCAAAGAAAGAAAAAAAAAAGCAAGCATCACTAAATTATCCACGGGACATGCCATAATGATTCGTGAAAATAAAAAAAATTGATATGTTGGGCTATTTTTTGTTGTCTTTTCCATTTTGGCTCAAGCTGCCACAATCTATCCCAGGGATATTTAGGGCAACATACTCGCAAGGTACAGAATGTAATACATTTCGATCGTGAAAATCCCGACCCAGCAGGATCTATGCTGCTCGGCTGGACAGATTGTCGAATTTGGTACCCGACAATTCAGGCTGAAGGTGCCTAAGGGAGGTCGTTAAGTTGCAGAATGAACTTTAAGGAGAATGAGAAGCTTGATGCCCAACAACGCCACTAAATTCCAACCGTCTAAGACTCTCCAAGTGTGGTGGACAAACAGGCTGTTGGCAGATTGGCAAATAAACCGGGAGGTACCTATAGATTAATAAAAGAATAGCAGGCAATTCTTGAAAATGTGAGATACCGAAAAAAAAATAAATAAATAAAAAAAGGTTGCTCTGGCCGATGCCTCGAATGAGAAAACCAGCCATTGTAGACAGCGAAGCGAGCGTGATTTAATGCAGCGTAAAATATATGGGTGGGGCTGAAAATCAGTATTTACCCTTGCAATCAAGGTTTGTTCAATCGAGGGATTTGAAAGCGCCGGATAGGAAAGGGGGACGCTGTGGGAAGGGAATTATCGTTTTCTATCTGAGTTTTTTGGATTTTTCTTGCTTTGATGTGTTGGCATGGCTTTCTGCCAGTGAAGGGTAATGGGCAAGCTCCAGAACTTGTTTGTTGAGCCTATCACGGTTTAATTCGCCGTCGATCTAAGCGACGAGGATTGGCCCGTCCGGTTCAGACAAGACGCTTGAACAGCTGTACCCTAGGCCCACAGTGCTGCAGAGAGAATGCCAGACTGGATGCGCAACCTTTTGGTCTTACGAGGTGTCTCCTTCACCAAAGTACTGGTAGAGATGGTACAGACCCCGCAGAGCTGGAGCAGAATCAACCTCTCTAAACGTCCTGGAACATTGCCAACTTCCGCTAATGCAATTTATATTCGCAATGGTTGGATTCGCGTCGCGCAAAACGCGCTGAGTTCGAAGTTGAGCCCTGGCGCGAAAGGCAGGATGGCATAAATGTCTGCAGTAGATTAATAGTTGCTTTCCCCAGGAAGCTCCGGCCCCACAGCTTTTCATCCATTCCTCCATCTATCGCCCCTTGTTTTGCCATTCGCAGGGGAGTCATAGCCAGAAGGTTTGCGTCAGGAATGACCGACTTGTCGGGTCATCATAGGAATGGTACGGCCACTCATATGGCAGAAAGAAGAGGTGAAAGAGAAACAACTCTACCAAGAGTTCGGCTGAGTGGTAGTAAAATGCCCAAACCTATCGCGAAGTTAAGGAAGGAAACACCCTGGAATCAGTGCGATAACCGATACGAAACGGGTCCAAAAGCCAGTGTTTGAGGCAAGGGAACTGGCGCTGCCTGTGCGTTGTTGTTCAACTAGTTACAGGCATTCAAGATGCAATGATGAGTTGGCAATCGATGGCTTCCTCCACCAGTGGAGAAAACGCCTGCAACATGTTCCAGAAAGGGAAGATGCAAACCACGAGGATCCGGCGTGATTTCGTCCGCTTTCAATACGAAAATTATTTCTCGCAGCGAGACCC